TTTGGAAGAACCAAATAATTGAGGAATGGGGTTTTCCAACGTAGTTCCTGAGACTTTAGGGCACCGTATATTTCTTATCAGCCTTCACCGATGAGTGGTTTTCTCTTTAGAGACCCCGTCTGAAGTGTTTGTGTCAAAATTCTGACCCGCATGGCGATGGATATTTTCTGTTTTTTCTTTTGATTATCCCAACCGAATCCTTCGACTCAAAACGCGGGGATGTAACTGAAGCACCTGTGTGAGACTTCTAGATACCTGTCCTGCCAGATCCTTGGATTTGGTTCAGTGTCTTGTTCGTTTGTACTTTGATTGTCGATCCGTCTATCGAAATAGCCCGATTCAAGGAATGAACCGGCGGAAAGTGAACAGGACAGCAACTTATTGGCTATGGTCCACCTAGCAGGTGACAGTTATCCAACGGATTACGAATAATTCTCTCACTGTCGGTTAACAAGCCGGTACCTTGCTCCCACTCCCAACTATCGGAAGTTTTCTGTCTGATAAACTGCTCATTTCCGTGTTCGTTTTCTGGGGTGACCTCTCTAAGGACGATATTGGGTGCTCACTGGAACGCAGCTAGCTTTGCTAGACTGACTTTGTTTGGTCAAAGTAAGTCGTGACACGAGGGTATGAAAACCGTAACTGGGAATCTTGGGTTACATAGGCTGCGTTAAGCTCCCTGGCTGAGATATCGGGGTGGTCGTAACCGGTGGTTAGAGAAACTGAATGATATGGCTGAGTGTCGTGAACAATGACGTTCGTGCATCTTCTCACTTTACTTGTAACCTTAGTCCACTGAAATTCTCCAGTTTTTCTTCGACTCTACTTTTACCTTTCCTATCTTTCATCAAATGATCAACCAAAACCGGCGTAATAAAGTGCATGGTTAATGGTTGCACAAACTGAAACTGAAACTCCTGGTCTTTCAGGCATAATGAAATCTACGGCTGCAAGAAGTCATCTTATCGGATCACGGAAGGCCATGACCCATCACACCATATCCAGATGCAGCCGCTTAGTAATGGCGCTGGTCGGGATTTGAACAATCCCGGTTGAGAACATTCAACTCCATGATCTATAACCTCAGGTACGAGGTCCCAAACTGGTGATCCTAGGTCGACCTGCTTGTCCTAGTCCTTTGACCGAGATCCTCTCGATCAGCCATAATCGAACTGCTTTTCATCTTCCTCCGATCACTGCCTGTCGCGGCAAATATCCTGCGTCGTTTTCTGACCCCCCCTCCCCCCAGTTGAAATCCCTTGCAAGTGAACGAACGAGCTTTCCGCTCAAGGATTCTCTGTCTCTTATTTGATTGGTGCAAATAACTGTGACCATCCCCTCCTTTCAAAACCTCACAGGATATTCACAGTCTGTTTGTTCCGTCATGTGATTTTCAAACAGTGCAATGTGAAGCGTGTTCATC